AATTCGAATTAAAGCGCTCAAAATTCGACATGACGCGAAGTACATTAGTGAGAAACGAAGCACCCAAACATCGAAAGCGAAGCACTCAAAGTTCGAAAGCGAAACATGTAAAATTCGAAAACCTCAGGAACGAAGCACTTGAAAGTCAAAAATGAATGAAGCATTCACAACTCGAAGACGGAGAACTGCAAAGTTTAAAATAGTTGAAAAGGACTCGACAGAGTTTTAGGTCAAAAACGAAGTAAACAAAAATTGAAAACAAAGCAATCGTAAGTCGGATACCGAAGCATTCAAAATGGAAAAACGAGGCACAAAAGTTGAAAACGAGGCACTCAAAATTTGAAAACGACGGAGGCCGTTAATTATTTACGTAGGGGTTACATTTTTTAGCTGTAATTTATGGTAGGAAAGATTTAACTAACTTCTTTGATAGCTGGCATCCCAAATGAAGAATGTTTTCATGCTAAGAAAATGAAGATTTTTTTCATGGAAATAAAAGTGTTTCAGATATCAACATATTTTTCTAATCGTCATTTTGACAAAAATTGCTGGAGCGGCATCTATGGAAAACATTAATTTTTCAGCTGAGGGTTCAATTTCCGAATAGAAATATGTCACTTTGGTAAGTACTTCTAACCACCCTCTTTCCAATTTTGATGGATGACACGCCAGAACGATCGGTAATCGAATCTGAAGTTGATCGAAGGCTTGAAACATACAGGAAGTTATCTATTTTATCGAAGAACATTAACATATTAGTCTCGTTCTCGCGCGCTGGCGACGTGACCCCCGATAATGCTTACTACAGGCTTTCGACAGTTAACCGGTTTCGAGGTCGTACGGAATATTCCATCCTAAAGTTATGAGAGTTTCTACCCAAGCCTTACTAAAGGTCATATAGAGAAACTATGAAGTTTGTGAATGATGTTATTTGACTTGATACCATTTTCTCAATGAGTGCAATTGACTTTGGAGGCATTCATAAGGCAAGCTTAGAAGTATAACAGCTCCCAAAAATGAAAGAACTAAATGAAACTCAAGATGTCACATTACCCGAGAAAATGTACGAAAATTCTTTTGAATTGTCAATTTGTCACTTGTGGCCAAGCTGTACTTCATGTAAGCGGTAATGAGATTCGTTGACAACGTGAGGAAGAGAATGATACATGTCTTTATGGCATTTCTTTTTTGCGATTTACTAACTCGTTCTCGTAGGTTTGAGTTGACTATTTTTTTCTTTCTCAAGGCACCTGGCTGCAACGTAAAAGGACTCTGAAATAACGCGTTTGTTTCAAAACTGCATGGGTCAATGTTTCAATCTCCTACATTCTTTTTTTCCTCCTTTGGTCACTTGGCTTACAAAGAGGTTGGGCAGTTATTTAATATTATATTCTCCGCTTGGTATCTTATCTGTCTGTCCACTCTTTTTTCAATAAGTTGATTAACGTTTCTTTTCTTTAATGTTTGTAAACTTATAGCGGAAAAAATGTTTCATATTTAACAAAGGAATAATTGAAAATTGTCTTCCTTAGTCGCAGGTGTTGCGGCACGGGAGGTCTGTAAAAATAATATATTATAACCCGCCGAGAATGCGCTGCTTTGAAAGGGCATACAAAATATTACTTTAAACGAAACGAGCAGTACTCGCGACAAAATAAAGGAAAACAAAAACGTTAATTCTAAGTATTGGTTTCTGTGTTATCCATTTATCTTCTTCTTTTGTTGTGGATTGAAGTTTTCTTTAGAAAGCGTTTTTCCTGTTGAGAATGTTTGTAAATGCAGGCGGTCTTTTAACTTAATAAGCGTTTTTGTAGAGCTTATTAACTCAAAAACGTTGCGAGCTTTCAACAAAAAAGTACGCTAAAGTACTTGAAGTCAATCTTCAGTAGTATGGAAGTTAGCGACAATGATAAGATACGTCTTTTACCTCGAAATTTTATTTCTGAAAAATTATTATTTAAATGTGATGCAGCTTGATGGATACTTGAGAATATCTTTCAAAATCACTCTTTCCGTTTCGTTTTAATTTTTTTGCAACATGTATAATTAAAATTATTATATTTAGCGAAGCACTATGCTTTTAAGCTTGCGTCGGCCTTAATATCGAAACGAAAATTTATGGGGAAAGTTTAAACACGAACATATATTGCGCTCTGTGGAAGTTTGCTCTTCATTCTCACACAGGACGCAAAAACAAGTAAATTATTTTGAAAATTAATCAGACGTGTGAAGTTTTGGCGAGAGTGTCTCATACGCAAACGATTTTTCTAACCACTGATAATCATGCGCATAGAATTTATTATGAACACAGGGGTTTGGAAACAATAACTGCGCTGTACTAATTAAATCTTTGCACTCCTTTCAATGCGATACATACACAAAAGCGTTATCCGTTCTTTTTGCGTGGGTTTCTCGTTTTGTTGAGGTCGCACATCGTGTTCTGCTGTCCAGCTTAACGTAAGTACGTTTTGTGTCATATTGGTTCGAGGGAGATGCAATTTATTTAGCGACGGGAAGTTTAATTTCGAAGAAAACAGAGGTGCAAATCCGGTTAATAATGCTCGCACTCTTTATTTTATTTCACCTACTAATTGCTTGAGTCCGTAACATTTTAACCGTTAGAATTCGTACCATCTTTGTAACCGGTTGAATATAATTCTGAATTTGGTGAGGGATTTGAGGAAAAGATTATTTTTACTGGAAAAGATTCTAAATTTGTCCTGGAATTTTTTTATGATCTCCAAAACTGTTACGAACTACAAGTAATTTGTTTGCAGGGTATAAATTATTGTTTCACTATTATTTGTTTTCGATTCTTTTCATGCGAATCGATATCTCTAAGATAGCAGAGTGGTTATAACAAAACAAACGATAACGGATTCTGAACGTGCGACAAGGAATAAACATGCTTCACACTACCTGCAGATAATTCCTCCGTTAAGTCTCTCTTTTCACAGATATTAAAACGAACAAACCAAGATTTCCACAGCATCCGCTCACAGCTTCTAAAATTAGGGAACCAAAAAAGATTTGTAAGATGAAATTGTCAGTGTGGCGGTTGTACGATCACTTTCGCTTTCTAGAATTTGTTTCATCTAAAGATATTTTTAGCTGCGATCTCTTAGTTCATAATTCCGTTTCATACTAAGGAAAAGCATTTTGATATCTGATAAACACGTCAGTATTGATCAAAGATGAACAGATAAATCACAGTTGTAAGCCATTTTAACAGAAAGGTTTCAAATCTATGATTTGTGATTGGCTATTTGCTCTCCCGTAGACTGGATTTCAATCGATCACTGCCAATTATTAAAGTACAAAGAATGAGCTAGTGAAATTGTTTGGCACAGTATAACACATTTACTGCTAATACCAACCTCAAGAACTAAAGAGCATTTATTTTTAGTAATTGATGTGAACGGTGAACCTAACTACCAGCAGGTTTGTGCTAAGGATGAAAACATTATCAGTGTTTCAATTCTGTCGTGCCGATGAAACTGTGATGTTCTTGTTTCCCTGTAGCCGGAAACTGTTGTTCTTATAAACAGCACATGTCGACACGTGCATAATATTTCGTTTTGGGAATATCACATTTCCTTTGACACAAAGACTCCTGTTTTGGGACGCTGTGCAATCTTTTTTCAGTGCAATTCTGCTCGGAGTAACATACCTGTGGTGAAGAAAGTTTTTTCGAGACATTTTATGTCAAAAGGGCATTGTTTCTTGAAACGTAATAAACATAATGTAACAGAACAGATTCCTTGAAATATCACATTATGTGACAGGGTTCTAAATATACAGCATCCGTGCAGCCAATCGTTCGGCTTAACAACGAATAAGTTCGGCTTGATCGATAAGGTTACTCGTGTTCGTTTAGTATGTACACTAAACAATCTATTTTTAAAATTTTTTGTGTGGAAAGTTACAAGGGTTCTTAAATTCTAAACAAATCTTTCAACTTGCGCTTAATATTACCCGTCCCTGAAGTATTGAACTTGAAATTTGAATTTTTTTTTTTGTAATAAAATGTTCTCTCTTCAGTCAAAAAAAACAAAATTAAAAATAACTGACAAAAATAGTCAATAATAACCATTAAATAATAATTATACATTCAGTTTCGTATTCATAAGTCACTCTGTGATATTTCTTATAACTATTTCATATAAGTCACATTTTGTCTATTGTGCCAGCCTGTGTTGTGTGACGCATGTCAACCAAAACTTCAACTTTGACTCCAAGTAAAGCTGACGTGAGTTGAGCCTGCGATTTCCACACCGCATTTGCTCAACGAAATGATGGGTACTTCTTTGCGCTACGCATGCTGGGGTGACAATTTTCGACGTGTCTGCTCTAGGTTTTGATTGATTAATAAGATTTGAAAATTCCTCAGTCTCCAAAATTACCAGAATAGTCAACGTTAAGCAAATCGGAAGACTTTGCAATCGAAGACTAATCAAGGCATCTAACCACCATTGAAGTCATTATCGGTCAATATGTACTGTACATGTATTTGTACGCACTGCCAGGTGGTGCAGGTTCATTAACTTTTAAATCGCGTGGTACCCATCGTATATTGTAAATAATAAGTTGTTTAAACTCCCAACTGTTTGGAGACAGATCAGTTGGCTATATACAAAGCGTAAAGAAGTTGAATCCGGGACCCAGTGACGGGACATCGGCCGCCCTCGTCCCCAGCGCATACCTCGCAGGCCTTGATCACATCAACAATTTGCTGGTTTTCGTTCCTCAAACCTAGGAAGAATCTTTGGCCTCTAAGACATTGCTTCGATTCATCATGGCTGGCTTCTCAAAAGGGTGAAGTAAATCGATAAAAAGCAGGAAGATTATGTCCATAAAACTGTTCACTCGAATAGCCTCTGCTCCCACCCACATCTCTCGTAAGATTAATTGCTTTAGGTTTTTATTATTTTAACTTGTACGTTATTTTGTGCAAGACATAAACATTTTTGAAACCTCCGTGCGGTAAAATAATTTCAGTTGTCTTCCGGTTGGTTGAATGTATTACTCATGCAATTTTTTTTATTTTGATAGATTGCCCAGTGGCCCGTGAGTTTCCAAAAACGGTATTTACCTTCAGTGATATAAATTGCTAGAGAAAGAGTTGCTTGACTGAGTTTATTCCTGCCATTCAATTAACAGAATACTTATCTGTACATCTTATATCATCTTTATGGTTCTTGGAATTCGGAGAAACTCAGATATAGGGCCTCTTAAACGTTCCCTTGATCACTTAATCACCTCTCGGTATTATACTCCTAACATGAATTCTTGAATTTGTTTGATTTCCTTTTGTCTACAAAGAAACTTTAAGAGCCATAGCCTGTCAATATGGATGTAGGAACCCAATGTTCGCTACTGAACTGCGGTAACAAGGATTATATTTGAGATACGCTGAACTTGACTTTTATTTTCACGAACGAGCGATTTACTGAAATGGGAAAACATATATGCGCTGAATAAGCAAAATAGAAACCAAAATACCAACGATGAGAAACTTAAGTAAAAACCGATCGATACTTACATCAACTAACTTCCTAACGAAAAACCATGTGCTCTTCCTAAACTTGATACCTATAGTAGCGACTACGATACATACGATCAGAGGTGACGTCATGAATGACTCACTGAAATGTCCGCAACTGTCTGTACTTGAATTAAATGAATCTTAGTCATTACATGCTCCCCCCAAAGACTACCCCGGTAGTCTTAAGGCATTCACTTAGAATGACAACAGGAACTATGTGGCAAATCTACATTCACAGTTCTCTAGAGAACTTTACTTTAGTAGTCCAATGACTAATGTCACAAGTTCAGGTTTTGTTNAACTCTCTTCAACATCCATGAGAGTATCCTTGAACTCGGTATTGTACAAATGCTCCAGCTGCATACTTAGTGTCTCTTCATGATCACTCCTATTGACATTGATGGGGACACCATCACCGTTAGGTTCACCCATTGGACCATACACTGTCCATCCTAAGGGAGTATTCACAGCATAAGGCTGGCCTCTATCTCCTCTCCTGATCTCTGAATTGTCATCGATAATATCTGGTCGGTCACTGCCAATAAGAATCGAGACACTATGCTTCTCTATTTCAGGAAGACTGACGCCATCAAGATGCGGCCATTTTCTCAGTTCTCTATTGCTGGCAAAGTGCCTCTCGCCAATGGGTAGGCTCTCCGTTGTCAGAACCTGATCAAGAGTAAACTTTGTTTGTCCGTCAAGTGCTTCTATATCTAGGCGGGTTTGATGGCCATGTTCCTTTCCCTCATAATTGACCGTTGAAAAGGTGAAATCAGTGGGTTCGCTTTCAAGGCTCAATTTTTCTAGCAGACTTCTGAAGCAGAGTGTAGTGTCCGACCCACTGTCTAAGAAGGCGCACGTGGCAAGCTGTTTATTGCTGCCTGGCCCACTGACTCTTACTGGGACGACCTTGGTCTGTTACTCGCTGTGGGTTCCACTGGAATGGAATATCTGGATACTGCAAATGTGCTTGATTCAGTAACTGAGGAGGGGTTGGACTCAGTGACGGTTGAGGCTGTTCCACCAACCGAACTCTGGTCTTGAATAATGGGTTGCTGATTGGCGCTGTCTTGTTTTACTTCGGGTCCAATGTTCCCTCCGCTCCCACAAGGGTGAAGAGGTGAATGGTGCTTCCTTCCACATCCTGGTTTCCGACAAGAATATCCCTTTGGACAAGATCTCGAGAAGTGACCATGTCCAAGGCAACTACCACAGAGTTTCTTCCGTTGCGATACACGATGCCTAAGAACATATCTATATGGTATTTGTCGGCCGGGGGTTCCGTATTGGAAAAAACTGTTTCCGAGGTCTTGAGCATGGCCTGAGGCCGCACGCCAGGGCCCATATTCCCAGACAGAGGGCAGGTTTTTCCCAATATGGACCGACTTAGGCCTGCAAATATCACTGAAACATGTATATTTTCCCCGCGGCAAATGGTTTGAATTACGAATGGGTTTGTTTACGCAACTTTGCCATTGAATCGGCGTACGTGCCGTCTACTAACGATTCGTAAAAAAATCTTCGCAACGAGCGAGTAACTCAAATACTAGACACAGAAAGATGTATTAAAGAACACATTTATTTCGAACTACTTTATGTCAGTGCTAATTTAGTTCACCAGTGCAGATCTCCATTTTTTTTTC